GAAATTCGATCTTCCGAGGCCATCGACCGATCAGCCTCCTTTGACTTCTGTCGGCGGTCAACGATCCAACTGTAATCACTAGTTAAATTTTTGTTCGTTTTTCAAAAAATATAAAAAAAAGACTACATGAAAAGCTTCAAGAATAGCATTGTTCCATTCTGCTTCGAACTTGTATTTCTTTTGAACTCAGTAATTTTCATCCTTTGAATAAGCTTGAATCTTTTCCTACTAAGCCTAAGCATTAAGCAAACATGTCAGAATGAGACAGTAAGATTGTCACTGAACAATATCACGAGTAGAGCTGGAAATCTTGCCTCAGCATTCTTTCCTCAGCTAAATTTAACAGTGACCGAACATTTTTAAAAACACTAACTGAAAAAGGCCAAAACAATGAGCGCGAGTAGTATCACTTCTACAATGCCACATAAAACTGCTGCCGTGCGGTAATGTAATAACTTGCACATTGCTGGTGCAAAATAGAAAGGGTCATTCTCGTCGTAAATGAACTTGACTGGTCTTTGGTTGATCGATCTGTCAGCACAACTCTGATCCTCATTAGAGTCACATGTCGACTGCTGCATTCTTTCCTCAGCTAAAAAAGTTCTTCGTTCAATAGACAGAACTATTTAAGAGAGTGTTCAATTTCATTACAGACAGTTAAAATTGCTTACTTCTTATGAAGCATGCTAAGAATTCGCATAACAAATCACTATATAAATCCTATGAAATCAAAGAAAGTNGAAAGTAGTAGCATCTAATGTACTCTCAAGAAGAACGATACTTAGAAGATGAATTAATCGATGATGTAATCAAATACGATAAAATTCATAAGTTTATCTTATCAGTGAAAGAAACATTCATTTGCACAATAGGCTTCCATAAAATGGATATTTTTCTTGAAAATTCGTCACATGGAAATGAATGCGGAATGATGTGCACTAAAAAGAATGGCGTTAGGTGGCAATTCGACATAAAGAAGAGCAATCGAATATACGACAACCTTAAAACGAGCACAAGACGAACTATTTGACCTGATTTCCATGATGTATCTTTCATCTTACTTCTCATATGTTTAATTGCGTATATGCACTTTTGCGAATCAATACACTCACGCGTCCACATCACAGACACGTTCGAAATCACCAAGGCGCTGATCGGTGGATTAAAAGAATTTTGATCTTACAATATCGGATAAATTTGTCGTGATTCGGTCATGTCGAAGTGAAATGCGAAATCATTGATTAGTTGAACAGGATGAATCGATTAGTTATATTCTGAAAGGAAATTCGGGCAGATATTTTCTATGTAAATTCGCACGCTTGATGAAATTTCAAACGCATTACGCAGTAGATGCAAAAAATGCTCGGATCATTCTCTTCTAGGTTCTTTTCATTAATTGCAAATTTTACAAAAGCAGTTTTTCTGATTTGTGTTTATTCGGTTTTGCAGTGCACTGTATCAGCAAATACACTAAAACTGAATCGTTTCAATGGGATGTCTACGTCACTTGGGTTTGATTCTCACAATAAATGAACGTTTTCTTTGGATTATAATTGAATCAGCCAATCGTTTCTTGACGACTTTTGAATCATTTGTGAAAGACGTTTAAGAGCATTTCCTAAAATCTTCAAGTACTTTTAGTGGCATGGATCACATGGTTTTGTTCCAGTGCTTAAACATACCCATCTCGACTCCTCCAACCGACTATTTCACTGACTAATTTCGGAAACTCCACAGAGATGAGTTCAGAAATTTTCAGCATCAACACTGGTTCCATGTGATTCTTCTAGTCCAAATTCAGTTTGCGAATTGAAAATGCGTTAGAGAATTATGTTACGACTGTAAAATACCATCAACACTGTGAATAATGTACTGCAGTTTTTGTGTGCTGCAATCGCATGAATGCTTTTATTAATGAATCGTATAAACAAAAAGACTTGTGGAATGTTCCACTGGATGGCATTTTTGTGGACGGATATATTCCGTTGCTAAGGGTGATGTGCGACGGATGTATTTGCGAAACGCCGTAAAGTTTGGACCATTCAGTAGTATCTTTCAACCATCCTCTAAGTTTCTTCGATTAAGTAGCAGGGTAGCTTTCTGATTCGAAAATTATTATATGATACCATCGGAAAAAGTTGGCAGTTTGTTGATAAGAAACCGATCTGTTTCGCCATGCTTAGTCGAATGACTTAAGTTTTCTTCGTGTTCACACGTTATCAGCATTTGATTACAATGAGCTGTGCTTTACTTGTACACAGCGAAAGTAGCGAAGTACGTTCAACGATACTTCCAACAACAATCCTTCTTCATTACAATTATGCATTCACCACACTGGCTAATATTAAAGGTATGATGCTATTTACTTTACCGAATACCCCTTGATGTATTTATGAGAACATCAATTCTCTTTGAAACGTTGATTGCCGGTAAAATTAAAACAAAGCTTGTTATATTGTTTGATTTATATCAGCTTGTAAAGATAGTTTAGTTTTATCCTCCATTCAACTTCCCTCAGTAAGATGCCATATAGTCATTGCTTAGTATTTCATAGAAATTCTCCAATTAGCGGTGACTTTAAAACTCATTTGGTAATATTGAAGCTTCTGGGCTTGTCAAGATTTCACTGAGTTTTGCACCCTTTTCCCAATAAGTATGAAGCGTAACTATCAGAATAGCTTTTTCGGCATGTGCTATATTTCGCTTATAATGAGGAAAGGAACGCATCCATGCTGAACGGCCAATAGGGATGAGTACGACTTGATGATTTCAAAAAGCCCAGATGCGAAAATGACTGAAGCTTCACTTATGATAAATCATCATGAAATGCCTTTGTCGTTCAAAATTTAAATGAAAAACACATTCAGATAAATTACTTGCAATAACGCAAAATTCGTCCATTCGTTATTTTGGATTACATATTCAAAACAAAACGACGAATGTTCTGTCACTCAGCGGAGTTGAGAAATCCGTATGTTTTATTCACTTTTTAACAGTTTTCTTATTTCCGCTTGGCTTCTTTCAAAGTTTCCAAATTGAAAAACTGCGCCA